TGCTAGCTACAGATCGTGAGTACTGAAAAGTTCAAGCTTTTGTGCCTGCTAAACAACCTCCCTTTAGCTACTCACCATGAGGAAAAATACAGCAACACAGGACATCAGTCATGTCCTAATATTGAAAGTGACTTGGGTTTAGTTTAGTTTAATTCTAAATGAAACTGATATACAATGAACCCTTGTTTGAAATATCCTACAGCAATAACCTAAGTATGACTCTTTAGGCTACACTATATTATCTATACCCCAGATAAACTACAGCAGACCAGACTTAAACACAGAGTAATTTATGTGGCTGTATTGTATGCGTGCATTAGTTTTAATTATATACTCATATGCTTCCTCTCAAAAGCCAAAGAGGCAACGATAATAAGAATGATTATGTCTGTAACCATAACTGCATAGTTATTACTTATACCTCCACAATAGAAAAATATTGTAATAGAAATCTTTAAACCCGGAGAAAAGGGCCTATATATAAAAGGTGCAGTAAAAACTGTCATACTGGATCAACCAATGAACCATCTATTCCTGTGCCCTGGAAGTAGTCAGTACCAGAAGCTTCAGAGGAAGGTGTATGAAACACCATTATGCACCATTATGAGTTACCACCACTTAGGGGAAGTTTCTTTCTAACCCAGGTAGTTATGCTTTTAAGGACCATTCTGGGTCAGGGGTGGGTGGAGAGAGTGGGTGTTCCAGGAGGCATTGTGACTTGGATAGGGGGCACAATGCCTACTTGAGAGCCAACGAGCATAGCCACCTTGCCAGCCATGGCACTGCCTCACTGACTAGTGTGAAGAAGAAATGAGCCCATAACTCTGCTCCTTTGGACAAGCCTCGCATGCACCTTGTGCCTTCCAAACAACAGGAGTGTGATTGTGCTGCAGGTGCAGGAAGGGAAGGACCCTTATACCCCAATGCAGAAGTCTGGCACAATCAAACCCCAAATTATCAAACAGCAGCATTTCACTTGATTAGGCACTATTGGCAGGCAAATAAACAATAGGGGCCCCAAATGAGATCAGGGCCCTGCTGTGCTAGGTGCTGTACATACACACAGGAAGAGACAATCTTTGTTTTAAAATGGCTTACAACGTATCTCCTTTAAGTTCCAATTCCTTATTGTACTGAAAATACCTTTCAAGCAGGAAACACACACACAGAAGTGCACATGGCTAAGCACTGAAAGATACCCACACCCAGCCTGCTTCCAAAAGTTAATACAAAGCTAGAATCTCCCCAGGAAGTCAACCCCAATTCCACTTTTCTTAAACCGATCTATAAGTCAAGAAAATGAGGGTCATTACAGCAGGTAAGCCTATCACTTAGGTGTAGCATGTAAATATTTTTCTCATTGCAAATGAATGTATAATAGAGACTACAATATAATAGAAAACTGACTGAAAATTCATAGAAATGCCATGGGAAAATTTTCATAATGGACTTATTTTCTGAAAAAAGACATTATTCACAGAATGTGGTAAAAATATAGTGAATTGGGCTTTGAGAAAAATTGCAAGACTGTTCAATAAAAAGACAAAATACCAACACTCTTCAGGCAGCAGGAGGTAAAACGAAATATAGGAAAGTTCCCCTGAATAAAAAAACCTAAAATTGGAGGAGAACATTTACTGCTCTCCTCCAGCATAGCAACCTTTCTAAGGGATTCAGATAATGGGATCTTAATTCTAGTCATGTTGGGAGTACAAGAAATGAGAGTTAGAACTTTAAAATGGGTACCACTGGAAAATTGGAAAGGTTAGTGGAGACCAGATCAACAAGTGAAATATAAAGAAAGGATCTGCCCTAAGTCTAACTGGCTCTTTCACTTAGGAGTATCCAAGAGTTTGTCAGGGTAAATTGCTACTCATTATAGACTTGACCACCGATTCATATAACACATTTAATTAAACCAAGTAACACTAGAATTTGCACACTGGTTCAGTTTATCTATGAACAGATATGGGGTCAACTTTTCAAAACAGCCTGTCAATGGGACTTATGGGCCTAAAGTCACTTGAGAAAATTAGACTGGCATTTTTGAAATTTTACTCCCGGAGTCTATTTTCAATAGTATAATGACAGGCATGTGAGAGCTCCAGATCAAAGGCAATTATGAGAGAAGAGGGGAAGCTAGTGGAGGTCGAGTGGCTTAGAGAAGTGTTTTGGTGGGTTTAGCTCAATTCTTTCTGGGCAAATATCACAACAGCCACCATCACAAGCAGCACTAACTCACATCTTAGGCAACCTTGGCAAGGACTAAGTAGACATGGAGAGTGAACTCAATGGGATTTCTCCAGAATATGATGCAGTGGGGGAATTAGAGAAGTTTGTCCTACTGCCATCAGTAAAGGCTAAATAGAAAACTTTAGTCTTCTGTGCTGACACCTTTAACCAACATGAAATTCCCTTAAAGAACACACTTTTTAAAATGCAATATGCCATCTGCACACACACACTCTAAATTCCACCATTGCCCATCTCACCAATGTTTTCTCCGTCTCAGGGATTTCTGGAAACGTGGTCTGCAATGTCACAGCTGCAGAACAAGGGCATGAGTGTTGTTTCCTGCCCACAAATACCTTTGTGCAGGGCCGGTGCAAGGAAGTTTCGTGCCCTCGGCAAAACTTCCCCCTTGCGTCCCGTCCCCCCCAGCTAACCTCGCCCCCCCCCCACACGGCAGCTAACCCAGACCCCCAGCTGGGGAGCCCCCCCCCACAGCAGCTATCCCCCCTCTGCAGCTAACCCCGCCTGGGGAGCCCCCCGTGGCAGCTAACCCTAGCCTCCTCCGCTGAGCACGCCGGCACCGCTCTAATTCTCCTCCCCTCCCAGGCTTGCGGCGCCGATTGGAGGAGACTTAGAGCGGGGGCTGTGTGCTCAGCGGAGGAGGCAGAGTGGAGGTGATCTGGGGCAGGGAGCGGTTCCCCTGTGCGTCCCCCCATGTTATTGCGGGCGGCCCCCTCCCGGCCCCCCCGCCGCCCTAGCTCACCTTCACTCCACCTCCTCGCAGCGGTGGCAGGTTTGTAGAAATTTTGGTGGTTCCCAGAACCCGCGCCCGCCCAAACTCTGAGTTTGGGTGAGGGAGGAGGTCTGGGGTGCAGGCCCTAGGCTGGGGCAGGGGATTGGGGTGCAGGCTCTGGGAGGGAGTTTTGGGATGGGAGGGGTCCAGAGGGATGGGGTGCGGGGGTGAGGGCTGTGGCTGCAGATGAGGGGTTTGGAGTGTGGAAGGGGCTCAGGGCAAGAGTTGGGGTGTAGACTCTGTCTGGGGCTGGGAATGGGGGATTTGGGGTGTGGGAGGGGCTCAGGGCGACAGTAGGAGTGTGGGGGGGTGAGGACTCTGGCTGGGACTGGGGATAAGGTGTTTGGGGTGCTGGAGGGGCTCTGGGAGAGGGTCAGAGTGTGGGGGGGATGAGGGCTCTGGCTGGGACTGGGGATAAGGTGTTTGGGGTGCTGGAGGGGCTCAGGGCTTGGGCAGAGGGTTGAGGGTGCAGTGGGGGAGTGAAAGCTCTGGCTGGGGGTGTGGGCTCTGGAGTGGGGCAGAGCTGGGGATGAGTTTGGGGTACAGGCAGGCTGCTCCGGGACAGGACCCAGAGAGGAGGACTCTCCCCAGCTCTTTCCCTGCCAGCAGCAGCAAGCTCTGGTGTACGAGCCTCCCTTTCCTGCCCCCCTGTCCAGCAGCACACTCACCCCCACCACTGTCACTGCATGTGCTCCTAGGGTCCCTCTCAGGTCCTGGAATCTCCCTTGCCTCCCCCATGGTGGGGCGCTGCGTGTGCCTCCTCCCCTGCTGTTGCCCCTGACTGTAGCCTCACTGGGGGTGAGGAATGGGGGTGCCTCCTGGCCCAGCATGGGGCAGGAGCGGTGACTGCGGGCAGGGGGGTCCCCTGTGCTGCTGGAGGGTCCCATTGGAAAATGAAAGGGTCTGAGGGGGAAGGGCAGGCTCAGAGTCAGTCTGTCCTGGCAATGGGCAAGGGGGGCGCTAGGACCCTGCGGCAGCAGTTGCTGCAGGGAAGCAGCATGGAGAAGACAAAGACAGACAGGCTCTGCTCCCAGACAGAGACGCTCTGCTCCTCTGCTCCGGGGGCCTGTGAAAGGCGAGCGGGGGGCGGGGGCAGCAAGTCTGGGCCGGGGACACTCGGGGAAGGCGTGGGGGGGCTGCAGGTGGGGCCAGGGGGGACACACGGCCCCAATATTGCTGGAGCTGGGCCTCTGGCTCTGAATTGCTGGTGCCCGAGCACCACATGGATATGGAAGTCGCTGCCTATGCCTCCTCGCCTGAGCGGGCTTTTAGGCATCCCCAACCACTAGGCGCCCTAGGCAGCCGCCTAGTTTGCCTAAATGGTTGCACCGGCCCTGCCTTTGTGAGCAGAATCCCAGTTTGCCTAAAACAGCAGACCTGGAGTATAAGCCGAGCCTCATTGCCGTCTGACCTAACTCAGCTGTTGGGGTCAGAATCTGTGCTCATCTCAGCTGGTGGACTGGGAGCAGCGGTTGAGGTTATAACATGAAGGCATGAGGAGTCTAATTAGGTCCAGATGCTGAACTAGGGCATAGACAAGTTTTAAGGGTCCTTGAGGTATTTCTAGTATTATTTACAAAATCATAATATACAGAAAGACCTTTTGTACAACTACGCTCTTACTAGTTATGGAAGGCCTGAAGCCCTGCTAACCTTGGCAAGGCGATGCAAAGACCCAGCTTCCCAGTACATGATTCTGCATATGGTTGCTCCAACCCAGCAAATACATCTGGAGGGGATACTGTAAGGTCAATAACCAGTGCCACTGTATCATCAATCTCTTCTTAAGTTTAACTTCAGAATGCAAATAGGTGAGGGTATTTGTAAAGAGGTCTGAGAGGTAGAATCTATAGCACAGCTGCCTTTTATTGAGCATACGTCCCGAGCAGCCACATTATCAGACATGAATGACGTGTGTGTGGCTTGGGGCATGGAAAGAAAAAGCAGAGAGAAATGAGAAGAGGGAACCTTTTACCTGACAGGTGCTCCACGGGACTGAGCAGGCTTCAACATGACTGTGATGGTAGTGTCCGTTTCATTCAAAGGGGAGTCCGTGTCGTATTCAGGCATAGATGGTGCTGTGGCAGAACAGAGACCAATGTGTAAATTATCCACTAGTTTTTGTTTTCAGTAGCTTTGGCAAAATAACACGAATCACTCTTGCAGCCTGGGTAGCATTTTTCATCTGAGATGTTGAAATACTTTTACAAGTATTAAGGGTGGAATTTTCAAAGCTGTTTAAAAGATTTGGACACCCACTTCCCTTTAAAAAAATAATGGGAATTGGACTCAAAATTTCCTAGACGGCTTTGAAAATCTCTCTCTAATTAGTTAAGCCTCAGCACTCCTGTGAAAATGGCATCATTCTCTACATTTTCACATGAAGAGCCACACAGAGGTTAAGTCTTATCTTGGCTAAAGGTCACATAGTGTGTCAACAATAGAGCTGAGATAGAAGCCAGGAGTCCCAACTCTTATTCTCCAGCATTTATCACTAGATTACACTTCCTACACCTGAGATGCAACTTTCACTGTTTAGGCCTGAGCTAAGCTGAACCTTTGTGAGCTGTAAGATAAAGATTCTTAGGGAGGTGTGGGAATTAGCCAGGTTATCTCACACTCAGCACCATAGTACTGTCACAGACACACATACAGAACTACATAGTCTGTATTTTTGGTATTAAGTCTACCCACTAATTAGTACTGGGGACTTTTTCAGGAAAACAAGATATTGACTTTCTTATAAGTTAGTTTTTCTGCTACCTATCTCCCCTTCTTGCTTCCCCACTTGAAATCAGACTCCTGTTTGGGACAACACTATTTTTTGCTGTGGAAGAAGTGCAGATACCACAAACAGCATTAGGATTTCAGGTGGGGAACAAGCAGCAGCAGCAGCAGATGAATCCTATAAGGTGCAGAGATCCAGGTTTTGTGCAAGTGCCTTTAGCTAAAAAGAACATGGAGGGATTAAATGCAGAAAATATGTTATCTGAATAGCCTAGTTCCAATCAGTGCAGCTATAACTTAGAGAAGTGACTTGGTAAAACTGCATTATTGGAGGTCCTATATTTCTCTACCATGACCTCCAGGTCAAATCAGCCTTTTTACAAGTTGATGATGTCTCAGAAACTGAAAACTGTCAAGATCCTGGTTTCTATTAGTGGTTCTGCCACTGACTTATTTTGAGGCCTTGTGCAAGTCACTTAACTTCCCTATTCCTTTAACATCCTCCCATCAATAAAATGGTGATGATTTTATGGGGGAAATGAATCTCTGAAATCTTTATATAAGAAACTCTATATTAAGGAAGCATTTAAATAAAAAGCTTGTTATAGGACAATTACCTTAACTATGAAGTTTTATTTGTATTTCAATATTTTCTAGCGATGCACAGCCTATTGTGCCAGATGCTTTACAGGCATAGTAAAAGACTGTGCTGGCCTCAAAGAGTTTACAATCATACTTTAAGACAAGACAAAATCGGTGAACAAAACACACATTGTGGAAGGACTGGGTAACAATAACAGGGAGTGTAATTCTGTGATCAGTATTTGCATTAGTTACCATGCACATGCAGGCGACATACCAGTTTTTCCTTACACTTAAAATATGAAACAGCTAAGTGATAGCTCGGCAAATGTTGGCTTTTTGGCAACCACTGAATAGTAACATAATTACTATACAATTGCATGGTGTTTACTATTTTAGGGCCCACTGAAGTCAACAGAAGTTTTGTCACTGACTTCAGCAGGAGCAGAATTGGGCCCTTAATAGTTACCAAGAGATTATGATGATAAACATATACACACACACATTGCGGCAAGATATGCATACCTGGTCATTAAAAAAAATTACCAAAAAGTCCTATAAAAACACCATAATAGGTGGAAACATGTTAGTAATCAAAAGCCCAACACAAAAATCCTTATTCCTGAACACTGCCTTCTTGGGCATTGGTTTTATGACAAGCATAATGAGAGCTTTCAAGTTGTGAACACAGGAGTAGCCAGGCAATGAGATGATCTAATGTTAGTGACTATGCTATTGCCTGTGTCAAGCCTCTGAGCCTACCCACTATGAACCAGATGTTTCAGAAGCCTGTGAAGACAGACTGAGCTGATTGCTCATGTGCAATCAAGTGCGGGGGTTACTCTAACTTGATTTCTGAATATTCACTGAATGCTAAAATAAAAGCAAATGGAATCAGAGAGGGAAAGGCACTAGCATTATTGTGCAATCGTATCTTTGTTATGTTACAAGTGTGCAGAGTGTGCTCCGTCTCCTTCTACTGGTAGGTCCACATGGAGGCTAACAGTCTATGTGGCTGATATGAGCTAATGGAGTTGCTTCTTTAGCTCAAGTATGGAGATCTGCACTTTTGTGCTGAAAGTCAAGGGTTCAAACCCTGCTGATGATTAGTGGAAGGAATGGTTATATGATGCTTTCTTGATGCTTATTCTCTCATTTATGTCTAGTGCATTGGCAACATTGTCCTCTTTCAAAATTTGTTAATAAAAACGAAGCAGAAAAGTGCATTGCAGTGCACAGTTTTACAAGGCAGTTGGCTATGATTTGGGGCATCGCAATTGTCTGAGGACATCTGCACACTAAAATTCAGCACTCAAGGTTTGCCTTAAGCTTTCCTCTGCTAGGTAAAGATACAAAGCAAAGCCAAAGGTATTCCGATTATTCACTGTTCTCAAAGAGGTGAAAAAATGAACCAGGCGAATAACACGTTATCCCAATGCTGTCATTTTAATTGTAAAATCTTTCTATAAATCTAATCCAGCACTTGGTTCTCCCCTATCCAATTCCTCTATCCTCCTCTGAAACTCATCTAGCAATAGCCTCCTCTTTCTCTGCAGGTGCAAGCGCCTTCTTCTCTGCAGCTCCTGCGGTCTTTAACAGCCTTCCTAGGCATACCTGCCTTGGACTCTCCATCTTTTCTCCAGTCCCATTTGGAAAAAATTACCTCTCTCCTTGTTCATACCTCTCCATTGCTCTATCCTTCTGATATTATTTAACTAGCTCCATTATCACTCCCTGTGGAGCGTTTTGAAGATACAAGACAAACATTTTCAAAGAATTCTCTAAAACTAGGCACTCGGTGTAAATGTACACTCAGTCAGTTGCAGGGAAAACAAATGATGTCATCTAACACATTGTCTGCATCTACAAATCAGCTATTTATTATTAGGTACTATTTTCACACACTCCATCAAATATGGCTGTTGGGGGGAGCCCACGTTTAAAATTTGCTCCACAGAGTTTGTATGGTGTTGAAATTATCATCATCATACTTAATATGGGATACAACCATAAATTCCCTTATTAAATCCAAAAGACAAATGGTATTTACACAGTTGCTCCAAACTTACTTTAAAATGCCTAAGCACTCAACACACCCACACAGTAATATGCAGTTATAGGCATTGATTAGGCACTTACAACAGGACTAGAGCTGGGATGCCCAAAACCATGTTTCCTGGGTCCAGCTGGATAGACAAATAACTAGCAATGAACCCTTTAAGAGTCCACCCTTTTATAACTTATCTATCAGAACCTGTGTGACAATAGTCACTGCTTCTTGAATTACTTTCTTTGCTGAAACTCGTTAGAACCGTCTTTGATCATTGGGGCTTTTCTTCAAAGATTTCCATCCTGTATTTACACAGACTGCAGATTATATATATTCTTCAGCCAAGCTAACAACGCTTTATGGAGCTATCTTATCCTACAGACAGAGATACTATGCCAAGTCATTTGTTCTTGCTTTATTAGTTTGTTTAATTTGGATCTACAAAGGACAAACCAAGGCCAGGCCTCTTCCCTTCTCCCCCAGTGCCATACCTGAAATTTTAGTTGCGATCCGTGTTGTGATGGGAGGCCCGAAGCCCTTCACTGTGCTGGCTTTGATGGTGAACGAATAGGTAGTACCTGGATATAACCCTACAAAGAGGTGGTGAGTTTCATTCCTTAGTTTGAAGATCTTTCCCCTCTGGCTGGACAAGTCAGCACTGGGATCTAAGGACCCAACAGCTTTGTATGTAATCTGCAAATAAAGAACAGATAGAGTCAGGGTGGTTGTGCTGACATCAGAATTGTCAGGCGAAAAAACAGATCTGGTTTCATTATGTTCCATGAATGGGTTTTTACTTGGACGCTGGAGATCCAAGCATGATCTTTCATCCAAAGTTTCACTTAATAGAGGGTCTGATTTTTCATTTCCATTACCAACAGGCTCAGACTGCAGCATAAACTGATTTAAGAAGTGGATGAACAATTTTTTTTTAAAGAAATCTCTTAATTTCTTCAGCCAAATTAAAGTTGACAGCAGGATTTTCATGAATATTTCTGGTGTAATTCCTTCCCCTCACCCTTCTCCCTGTGATGTGAAAAGACTCATGGGAAAAATTCCCATCAAGTATTTTTCCTGCCAGCTAGTGGCCTGATCGAAAGCCAATTGAAGTTAATGGGAGTCCTTCTATTGACTTCAACTGGCTTTGGATCAGGTCTAAAACAGAAAGAATTCTTGACCCAGAGAGAATATTCTTTTAAGAACATGAAATAAATACCGTGAAGGCATTACACAAATTCCCCCCTCTCTTTGCCTGTGTTTTTGAGACTGTTTCAGACTGATTTTTTTTCTGACTTTGTCCTTGGTTTTGAGGGTTTGTGTATGAGTGCTGTCCCTGATTTCCACCTCAGAGTGTTGGCAGAAAGGTACGGATCCAGACAGATATTCATGAGTACATATATTGCTAGTGATAACACACCTTTAGAGAAATACAAGCCCAAAGCACACCTTTGAAATTCTGTCTGAGTTCCATTATGCCTACCAGTGGCAAGTCTGTGAATATACAGACATTGGAGGTAAAACTCATGACTTATTTACCAGCTGATTCCTTCCCTATGTTTCAAATTCAATCCAATGGTGGCTCAGTTTCAACTGAACTGTCAATATAATATACTGTACTCTACAGCTCCCCTAACCTTTCCTGATATTACAGGATCCTTGCTTATTTGTAATGAAACACTATGAATAAATCAATGTATTTTAATATAGCAAGTCTTCAATTTTTTATGAAGGTCTTCACGAGAATCTAATTCCTGGATTTGCCAGAAAAAGGCTTTGAAAATTCTAAGTCCCTCGTATTATGACAGGAAGAAAACGTTGCATTTTGAAGAAAAAACAAATATATAATGTTAAAAAAGGAGTATCTTATAACAGGTTTGAAAACAGACAGAGGCCAATTCTTACTGGCACCATGCAGGAGCAGCAAACAACACTGTTATTTAGACAGAGGCAGATCACAAAAGAGAAAGCTGATACACAGAGAATAGGTTGGATTACAGGGAAGAAGAGTGAATTCCACCAGGATCCATAATGATATAGAGCAGCAAGAACTGAGGAGAGTGGCACCCTCAAAAGCAGCTCTATTAAATCAGCTTGTCAGTATTTTCAATTTAAACTCACTATTTTCCCAAGGAACTATACATTGCAATTTATTTTGTTGCTACTTACCAGCAGCTGGCTATACAGAGTCAGATCTCAGGACAAAGGGTCATTAAAAAAACCACAACCACTGGAAGCAGAACACTTTATTCACCTTCGGGGGCAGCGCAGAGGGAACAATTGCAGCTGCCTTAACAAAACATTTTCAAAGAGGGAGAGGAAGAGAACTTTAGGTAAAACACTGTTAGGTTCTGAGGAAAAGATCATAGCCCTGGCTCTGCTACAGATGAAGCAAATTTAAAAAATAAAATTTATTCATTCAGGGTTTAGTTTTGAGTCACAAGCAACAAAAAAACTTCAAAAACAGACTCAAACGAGAGACTGCTGAATTGGAATTAATTTGCAAATTGGACACCATTAAATTAGTCTTGAATAAAGACCGGGAGTGGATGGGTCATTACACAAAGTAAAACTATTTCCCCATGTTTATTCCCCCCTCCCTCCCCACGGTTCCTCACACCCAGGAGCGCCGCCAGCTTTTCTGCCGCCCTAGGCGGCGGAAGGTCCTGCCCCGAAATGCCGCCGCGGTCGCTGCCCCCCAAATTGTAGCACCCTAGGCGACTGCCTAGGTCACCTAATGGGTTGCACCGGCCCTGCTCACATCTTCTTGTCAACTGCTGGAAATGGGCCATTTTGATTACCACTACAAAAAGTTTTTTTCCTCTCCTGCTGGTAATAGCTCACCTTAACTGATCACTCTCGTTATAGTGTGTATGGTAATACCCATCGTTTCATGTTCTCTGGGTATATATATATATATATATATATATATATATATATATATATATATATATATATATATATATATAC